AGGACCTGAGATTGAATCCCCAGAACCCATGTAAAGCTGGGTACAAAATATTGTGCACCTTTAATCCCAGTGCTCTTACAGATAAATAGAAGCAGAGATGGGAGACACCTCCCCCTTCCCCAGAAGCTTATGACCAGCTAGCCTAGGGTAAGCAGCAGAAGGCCCTATCTTAAAGTATAAGGACAGCCACCTGAGATGGTCCTCCAACCTCCACACATGTACCATGGCATGCAGGCGCCCCCATTCACACAGCTATGCATACATTCTATACTCACACTCCAAAACTCTAAAAAAAAAGAATGACACTAATTCCAGTTGTGTGCGCGCGCGCGCACACACACACACACACACACACACACACACACACACACAAATTCTCCCTCCTTCTCCCTTTCCCTCCCTCCTCCTGCGCTGAGATGGTGCCGATGGTTATGATGATACAATACCGCTTGCCATAAGGAACATCTTCCCAGGTTTATTTTTGGTGCCTTCTCTGTGAGCGTTGGTGTGGAACTTTGTCATGCTTTGAAACAACAGGCATTCTCACACCTCTACTGGTAAAACGGCATCAAGGGGCCCCACCTGTTCAAGATGGGGACCTTGACTCTCTGATGAGAAGGGCAGGAACAGCCAGGGAGTAGAAGGTAGCCTTTGGCCACATCTGGAGCAGGCTGCAGCTCAGGCTCCATGAGGCATGGGAAGTCTGCTCTCTGGTGAAGCCGGTGGGGCTCAAACTGGGCCATGTACAGAGCCAGGGAAGCTGGGTACGCAGCATGGCAGGTGCTGGTGAACCTGCTCTCGTTCTTCACAGGGGCTACCGGAGCCTGGGGCGGGAAGAAGCCAGGGAGTCCCAAGTCTCTCGCAGTCATGTAGGGTCTTTTGAAGGCAGGGTACCCATCCTCCAACCTGGGGTTGGGGTTGGGCACTGGCCGGTAAAACTCTTTGTTTCGGAGCTGAGCGTCAAGTTTGGCCTGCTGTAGAAACAAAGGGAAGACTGAGAAAGGTCCCCGAGGCAGTGCCCCTCAAAGCACTCCAGAAAAGGCCACTCTACTTTTGAAAAATGGGAAGTTCAGGGCTGGAGAGATGGCTTGAATATTGAGAACATTGGGTGCTCTTGCAAAGGACCAAGGTTCCGTCCCCAGCACCCATGTGGTGGCTCACAACCATCTATAACTCCAGTTCCAGAGGACTGGACACCCCTTGTGGCCTTTGTGGGGACCAGGCATGCATGTGGGACAGACATATATGTAGGCAAAAGACCCAGACACATTTGGTTTTTCAAGACAGGCTTTCTCTGTATAGCCCTGGCTGTACTAGAACTCGCTCTGTAGACCAGGCTGGCCTCAAACTCACAGAGACCTGCCTGCCTCTGCCTCCCGGGTGCTGGAATTAAAGGCGTGCTGCAGCACAGCCCAGCCAGTTTTGTTTGTTTGTTTGCTTGTTTGTTCTTTGAGACAGGGTTTCTCTGTGTAGCTTTGCACCTTTCCTGGAACTCGCTTTGTAGACCAGGCTGGCCTCGAACTCACAGAGATCCGCCTGCCTCTGCCTCCCGAGTGCTGGGATTAAAGGC